ATTAGTCAGCTTTCCTTTATTGTAACAAAATACCTGATATAATTTTCTAAAAGAATGGCTTATTCTGGCTCACGGCTGTGGAGGTTTCAGTCCGTGGCGTATTGGCCTCATTGCTTTTAGGCTGTGGTCAGGCAGCATATCACAGTGAGAAGTGTGTGATGGGATCAAGCTGCTCACCTTATGACCAGGATACAAAAGAGAGGAGGAGAAAGGGCTGGGTCCCATGTCCCCTTGGAGGACACATCCCTAGTGACCAAAAACTTTCCACTAGACTCTTAAAAATTTTTACTGCTTTCCAGTAGTACCACCCTGGAAATCAAGTCTTTGGGGGGACATTACAGATCCAAACTATAAACTTACCTATCATTTGTAGGAGAATTTGTATTCCTTGTTACCACAAACCTGGGCTCTGCACATTTTCAAATTCTTGGCTTTTATAGGAGGAATGTTAGAACAGTAGTGGGATTATATTGTCATAGGAGTATCAACCCTAAGTGTGAACTGCACATGCTAGGAATCCTTATGAGTCTAACACTTGATTATCTGGTATGGAGCTAAGGTGGTGATGCTAGTCCTGAGGCATGGCTACAAATAAAGATTTAAATTAGCAGAGAAGTTGGACTGTGCAGAGACCATAATCAATTGCTTGTAGACTCATATCAAAGCCTTATCAGTGAATGGCAAGTGACAATTAAGCTACATCTGGTGGCAGATTTTATAGTGGCAAGTGAGTTGATGTTCTTCAGTCATGCAGACTTTAAGTCAGAATTCAGCACTTATTTTAGTCTTTGTGCAGCTTGCCTGTTATTTTATTTACTATTTCCTTCTTACCTCTTTCCTACTTGGTACACATGTCTCAGTCATAGTTTTGTTAAGCCCACAAGCCAATCTGAGCCAAAATTAGTAAAAAAAGACAAACATCACTGGAAAGCTTCTCTGGAAAGGGAGAAAGACCCAATTATGAGACAGCAGAAGACTAAGACCACCAACCAAAGAGAAAGCTGCATTTATAAGAAAATACCAAAAGTGCTACTTAAAATTATGGGTTCTTTGCAACAGGCGATTCACATTCTCCAAGCTTGCTTTGTATAATACATAGCAACAGGCTATTCAGTGAAGCCAAGAAACCTTCAAAACTGCTTTGCCACATGGAAACCAAGAACACTGCATTAAAATACAAGCCTTTGGGCTTAAAAAAATAGAAATAAAAAATGGCTATGAAGAACAGAACTAATTGTGGAAGACCACTACTTCATCAAATGTGTCTACAGAGAGCACATCATTCTTACTGGCTAATTGCATTGCTAAAGCTAAACTTTACTACTGGGCAAGATTTGATCCTGTCTGCTGCTAAGGAGATTTGTCATGAACTTTAGGAGCAACTGTTGATCGGAAGGTGACATATATAACTCTTCCAGCTAGCACTATAACTAGATGAATTGAAGAACTAGCAGAGGATATCCAGACACAATTGTTAAGGATTAATGATTCACCATAGTTTGCAATCTAGGATGATGAATCTACCATGTTGATAACAAAGCAATGATGCTTGATTTTGCATGATATTTTTTCAGGAGGATATGTTGTATGCGCTTTTGTTGCCAGTCAATACCACAGCTGCAGAATGATTCAAATCTTTGAATAATTACATATCAGGATAACTGAATTGGTCATCTGTGTCACCATGTGCACAGACAGAAGCTGCCATGACTGGGTGGCTTTCTGGTATCACTACTTGGGTCAAAGAGGTTATAAGTGTGAAATGGATTAAGTGGCCTCCAGGAATGTGGTTCTACACACTGTGTCATCCATAGAGAGATGCTGGCTAGCTGAAATATGTCATTCAAAAACAACATTTTGTAGGATGTGATTAAAATTATTAATCACCCTAGAGTATATGTCCTTAACTCATGTCTTTTTGTGCTGTTCTGTGAGAAATGGACACAAAACACACATATCTTCTCTTATACACAGAAGTGTATAAGAAGGTAGATCACTGGCCAGAGTCTCTGAGTTATAAGACCCACTCCAGAGATTTCTTTTAGACAAACAGTCACCACTGGCAGCACATTTCAATGACATATAATGGGTCACAAAAATAAGTGACATATCCAACATACTCAACAAACAATCCTGTCATTCTGGGCAGAATGACAACTGTGTTCAAGTCCATAGATAAAGTGGCTGCACAAGCTCAGGGATCTTACTGATTCTTAAGTATGATGAGTTGTATACTTATTTCATTTTATATTATAAATATAGTAATAATAATAATAATAAAATTCACAATAAATGGAGTGCCCTTGTGCTATCCTCAAACCATTTCCCACATTGTCCATGGAAAGACTGTCTTCCACAAAACTGGTCCCTGGTGCCAAAAAGGTTGGGGACTGTTGATGTAAAGGTCTTACTTGATGCAGTCCTGCACAACTGTCCATTCTTTTCTCATTTTTTTCCTTTGCTTATTGTATTCTCTGCCACTGATCTTACTTCTGTTCTGGGGCTCTTGAATAGAAAGGAGAACTTTTGGGGGGCCAGGACTCAACTGGATAACTCAGTCCCATCAACAGAATATCTGATACAAGTGGGTACCCAAATTTTTTTATTGAATACATTAGCAACTAGAATGTTTGAATCTAAGGAGAAGGAGCTATTTCATTTCCAGACCATAGGACTGGTCTGCAGTATGTTACTGAGTAACATCTTAGGAGATAAAGAGGCATTTAAGGTTGGACTTCCTTGATTCTTTATTTTATATCTAAGGGAAGGTAGGACCTGATAGATTTGATCTTTAGCATTTCATAAGATTTTGTGCAATTTTTTCTCATCAGAATTCCTATTGATATTCCCTGAAAATTTTCACTGAAAGGAGATCCTGGCCTACAATGGGACTTAATCTTATTATTGTGTAAGAGACTACGTCCTTACAGCTTCCTATGGTATCACGTGTCTCTGTCCTTTTCTGATTGAGTTACTGGATACTCAAACCAACCTTGCCTGTCCCTTTCTCCTGAGTTGTAGCCTGTAAGTCTCTCTGTTGGCTCCCTCATTAGCTGGCCCAACTCCCACACACACAAGTTGGGCCCGTGACTCCTGCTGAAACCTGTGCATAGAATGCTGTATGTTGAATTATGTCCCTGTCAAAACTCTTGTGTTGAAGCCCTAACCTTCAGGACCTCAGAGTAAAATCTTATTTGAGGTGGATCTTTACAGTAGTATCATCATGTTAAAATAAGCTCACAGAGTCACATTACGACCAGTATCCTTACAGAAAGGGGAAATTTCCATAATGGATAGGCACAGAGAGAGAATGTCATGTGAACATGAAAACAACTATGTTTAGGGGCCTATGAAAAAAGCCTGGTGTGGAACCCTCCCTCACGGCCTGCAGAAGGGATCCCATGAACACCTTAATTTTAGACTTTCAGGCTCTACAACTGCTAGAAAATCAACTTCTGGTGCTTAAGCAACCCAGGATGTGGTACCTACCCATTCTGACGGTCCTACAAACTACAACACAAAGCAAGTACCTGATCTCTCCTGCACCCAAAGATGTAGCTTACCCAAGCCAGAATGGATAGCTTTTCAAGAATCATTTTAGCTGATGCAAGTTCACGAAAGAGAACCAAAAACTTCCAAGTTCTTCCCAGGGACCTCTAGCAAGCTTTTTCTGAAGTTCCACCAGACAGAAATGGGTCCCCAATACCCAAGTCCTAGCTACAGGCAGTGCTGGGAAAGACCTCAACTACAGCAAACTCCTGGCTCTAGCAAATGTGTCCAAGAATACATAGGCCTCACCTTCCCAGTGCCTAGATCAACAGATGTCAGAACAAGCCACAGTTTGGGAGGTGATTTGTCAATTTTGTTTCCTCTGTGTGTCAGTCACCCTTCTAAATCCTAGGGTTTGAGAATTTTCTGGAGCTTACTTTATAGTTGTTGGAGACAGGTGACAAGACAGAGAAGTCATGCTAAGTCCTCTGGGAGGTGCTGCTGGGAGAGGCGTCTAGACTTCTCTGCAGGTGGAGGTTCCTTTAGGAAAACTTATTCCATTCCTAGCAACTTTCATACTTTCAAAAAGAGAAGAAACGAACCCAAATAAAATCAGACAAAGCCCAAATATCTTTACGTCCTATCTCTAGCATCTGCTGTCTTGAGCGGGGGCAGTATAACATCCTGACATGCAAAACTATCATTCTGCACAGGGAAAGAATTTTTAGCACTGTTCTTCAACCTTAAATTATGCAGCATTTGTCCCCAAACACTCCGCCTGCTAAAATTGTACAGTTCTCCTTTCTCCCAACCCTCAATATCCTCTTCTTTTCCCACTTTCTCAGTCCCACTCTCCTATCCTTTTTGGCAGAGTGTCTAATGGTGAGGTTCAGACCATTTTAACAGACAAAGGTAAACTGCATTAAAAAAAAAGGTGGGAGAAATGTTTTCACTTTATTCTAATTTTCTGAACTAGACTATTGAAGCATAGTTTCAGCTTTTTCAATGGGTTTTGGTGTGTACTGTATCTACTTTTTGGGAAGAAAGATGAAAGCCTCAGATACCCCAAGAGAGCGGCCCTCTGCTGCTGTGTTTTGAGGATTCTGTAAAAGGGAAGCAGAATACAGGGTGTGCAGGAGAATCACACCAGAAACTGTTTCTAAGGACTGGCTTTCCTGTTCCATGTTGTTTCTGAAAGCCTGTCAGCTACTCCTGAGCGTAAGGAACGTAAACATCTCCCGCGGCCTGGCAGGGGTGGGGACCGATCCTGGATCCCGAGGGAGGAGGTGACGGTTTGCAGCCGTGCCAGCCCAGGTGGCCGGCGGCACAGGTGGAACGCAGCGGGGCGCGGAGTCGCAGCCCTGGGATTCCGCGCAGCGGTTTGGCCGGAACCCGGGCTGTGCCGGGTCGCGACCGCGGGAACAGAATCTGCACGCTGCGCCCCGCGGGTGTTTACGGCGTCCTAGCAACGGGACGCGGCGGCGGCGGCGGCGCTGCGGGTGAGCCCTGCTGGGATGCGGGGTGCGGGGTGCGGGGCAGTCCCGCCGCTCCGGGGCCAGCGCCCCGCTGGGGACTCTGCAGGCTCCTTCTCCCCTTCTCGGGCGCCCAGTTCGGCGCTCTCCCGTCTCCCAGCGCCGCGGCCTCGGACCCCTCCGTCGGTCTCCGCAGCCCCGGCACCCACCCCGCTGCGCCCTCGTCCCCCGCAGGTGCCCGCTGCCCCCGGCCCGGCCCTTGGGGAGCCTCTCCCCGCAGCGTGCGCGCCGAGTCCCGGGGGAGCGCCGCATTTCCGTGGCCTCCTCAAGAATTCGGTCCAGGGTTGCGGAAGTGACTCGAATGGGTTTCGTTTTATGTGTGAGAGTGGAAGCTTAAACCTGCTGCGTGAAAAGAAGCACCGTGCCTTATTGGATCCGTAGAGAAAACGTGATTCCCAGTTGGTGTAAACAAACTTACAAAAAACTTTTTTCCCCGTTTACCTTTGAACTTCTTCTCTTTAAAAATTTACTTTAATTCAAAGATACGTCCTATGTGTTTGTCTTCCGTGGGTAACCATGGTAACAGTATTTGGCCTGAAGAACTAGGAGCCTCGTGCTGGGTGCAGACCGCGAGCTTTTGTATTTTTACCTGAGTTACGCTGACCGTGTTTCATCATCCCTTACTTATTTTCTTCTAATAGTACTGCTCTTCTGCACTTGCCTTCTGGATAGTCAAAGGCTCCATGAGGTTACCTTCAGGCTTCTGCTAACCGGCCTGCGTGAGTAAAACCAGCCCCTTGCTGTGACTCCAGATTCCTTGATTTATCAGCTGAAATACATTCACCTGTGAGTTGCATTTACATTTCTACAGAAGTTTCTCATGACAAAAAGAAGTATTTGCACGTTTGAGTTCCCTTTCCGAGCTTTCTGCAAAGTTGCTGCATGGTATGTGGACTACAGAAATCTTAAAGTTATACAATTTCACATTTTTTAAATAAAAGGTGCAGGGAAGAAAGAATTCATATATTATGTATCTTTATAAGATCACCAAAACAAATGTTGTGCTTAAAATTAAAAGCAAATAGAACTGTCTACCTAAGCTCCTCTGTGTAAGGTAAAGAAAGCTATTTTTCCTAGCTTACTGGAAAATTCAAGGGTTACATAGCACCAGTACATGCTTTATATGTTTGAATCTAAAGCATTTTCCATCAATTAGCAATAGAAACAAGGGAAGTTCACAGAAAAAAATTGTATGTTAATTATATACATTTCATTTCACTGGAATTTATCTATTTACCTGTACGAAGATAAGTAATCAGATCAGTTATTTTCATGTATCTCTGATCCAACACTTGGTTTGTATAGCAAATATTTTGTAATTATACTTCACTATTCTGAAATCAAGGTCTCAGACAATAATCCTACATTTATAATGTAGTCTTCGATGCTGATAATACTCGGTTTGTTAAATGAAGGAAAATAACTGTAAATGCTTAGGTACTGCTACACTAGAATACATAAGAAAGTTGTCAGACACACTTCAGCCTTACCTAGAATTACCATGAATACAGTAGCTCCAAAGGCACACTGACACAGATGCACCATTGCAATTTGAATTTTGTGAATAATACTGCTTAATGGCATGATTTCCACAATGCTGAACTCTTGGTAAAGCTCCATGTAAAATGAAGTATGAACAACTCTCCTTTCACTTATATTACAGGTATAATCCTGAACAATTCAGAATATACTAAAACTGTGAAAAATGCTTTATGAGTTTTATAAAGTGAAGAACCCCTCTAGACTCACTATTTATCTGAAGCTTTTACTTGCCAGATGCCTGGAGGTTATGGCAGACTTCCTCCTGCTGGGTGCAGTCCTACTCAGGACATTTGACATCCTTGGTCTTCCTTACTCAAAGCCAGCGATGCCCCCTTCCCACTGTTTTGGTAACTACGCAGACATCTGTGCAGTATTTCCATACTGCTTCCCAGCAGGAGGTATTTACCTACTGAGAGTCGCTGAAATCCTGTTATTGGATTTCAAGATTTAATACAGTATGGAAAGTAAAATCTCCAAGTCATTTCTGTAGAGTCTGATACATCTGAGCCTTTATAATAGTAACGGGTGAAAAAAACTGGAATAGTCTATATTTAGCTTTATAACCATTGACCTAATATTCTGGAAGGCAGAGTTTAATGACTAATGTTATTGCAAATGAAAAAACAAAGAAGTATAGGTTATCTGGAAAAATATCGTTTATGAATTTATATCAGAACCTTTTTCTAACATGGTTTTTATTTAATGTTACGAACAAGGGCATCTTTTTAAAACTTTTCTAAGTAGCCAAAGTGAAATTTATTTCACTGAATTTCTGTTTTACATTTTATTGCTACACTTTTGATAATCTGCTTAGATAAATAGACTAAAAAATGACTCTTACTTTTCTTACAAATCTGGAAGATGTATTAACAGGGAATCCAGTACTTAAATTGCTCACATATTCTTGTAATAGGATCAGCATGTCCTACACTAATTTTCAGAAAAAATTAAAATTATGATCCATCATTACATTCTTATTTGTATTAATTCAGAAGGCACTTGGGGTATTTACAAAGCTCTTAGAATCATGTTTGTCTGTCATCATTGCTCTGAAACACATATTATGACCAAAGAAAGTCAGACTTACAGAGTTCTTTTAGCGTATTGCTAAATGACTTGTGGTCCAGATCAAATGAACATTTCTTATTTAAACCTCCAGCCCCCTAGCAGAGCTGTGAATCAAAACATTCACTGCCAACTGCCTTCAGTTCTTTTTTCCACTTCTGCAGTTTTCTGTATAGATTTTCTGTCCAGCTGTCTATATTCTCTTTCATAGGCCCAGTGATGTTAGAAAAAAGTTATTGACTTTAGAGCAGGCAGATATTAGAAAATCCCTCGATACAAATAAGTTTTACTTAGAGCTTTTTCATTATTTTATCAAACTGAAGAGCAATTAGATAATTCAAAAATGAAGCACTAAGATTAAAGAAGCAGACTATGGATTGAGTAGTACTAATTTAAAACCTTGAAAATGAAAACTGTGCCAGTGAAAAGGTGGACGCGGTTGTTTCCTCTGTCTGACTCCTTCTGTTCTGATGCAGTGCCTGTGAGCTCAGATCTGAGGAGCATTAGCAGATGCCATGGGTGTGGCACTGGCAAGACTGGCGCAGTGGACAGCTGCCAGCTACGGGACTGGGACCCTGGAGATCACCCCTCTGAATGAAATATTATTGAAAGAGATCATTATATTTGTGGAGCATTTTATTTATGATCACCCCCAAGAAGCAAAATTTAGTTTTGTAGAACCACTTGAATGGAAAACAGATTTGGAGCCCTCAGCGTTTGAATCAGGTTATATTGTAAGGTAAGCCACTTAATTGCTTCTAGAATTGAATTTCATTGTTGTACATTTTTTATTAATTGGTTGTGGGTTTTGGAAAAGCCACTTAGCTTCTAATTTAGGGGTTCCCAATCGGAGAAATCCCCTAAATTAGGGGTTCCCAATTGGAGACAATCAGATGAAATTTGAGGCTATTTCAATGAGTGAACACAGTGTTTTATCTAATTTATACATCTAAATTTTATTTTCTTTTGATAGAGGATACATTTTCCAGGTCACCATTGCTGTTCCATGCTTTGCCTTTTTACCTGTCCATGTTGCCTGCCACACGCCAGGAGCCTCTGGTTTTGTGACATCTGTCAGAGACAAAATCCCTTCCGCGGTTGAAATAGTGACCTTTTCTCAAAATTTTATTTTTTTTCAGATGTATTTTCAAATTTTATTTTTAGATATAAAAAAACCAAAACATATTAACAAACACACAGACATAAATGAAACAACATGAAAATGATAAAAACAACACAGAATTTCAGACAAAATGAAAACAAATTAACAATGGTTGCTGTATTACATACTGCTACCTTCATATTGGTTACTCCAATAAACAAATACAGACATGTAAGAATGATCAAACAATTAAATATCAAATGTTCCTTTCAAGAGAGCAATAGAAATTAATAGTACAATTATCTCAGCCATCTGGTATATATATATTTTCCCTTCTGTATTTTCTTCTTTCCTTCATCCCAGTTGTTCTTTCTTTTGAGCAGTTTTTTTCTATCTATTTTACCTTTTAGATTTCATTTACTCTTTCAGGTTCTTATACTAGGGAGACAATTCGATGAGACTTATTTATTTCACTTATGAGTGTGGTCTCTAGTGGCAACCATTTAATTATAAAAGCCTTTAATTATAAAAGGCTTTATCTTTCTTTATAGGTGGGTAATATTGAAATGTTTTTGCACATGTAAAGAAATCACCAGCAGAGTAAAAAGAAAACCCACACACTAGGAAAAAATTTTAGCTAACTGCCCCTCAGACCAAGGACTTCTATCTCAAACATATAAAGAATTAAAAGAAAATCAGGTCCCCCCAATTCAATGACCCAATCCAAAATTTTAAAAAGTAAAAATAACAATTGGGCTGGAAATGTAGCTCAGTGTGAAAGCCCTGGGTTCAATCCACAGTACCTGAAAAAAAATGGATATTGCCACATATATACGTAAATACATAAAATTATATAAACAAATATTGCAATTGTATATAATACATACATAATTACATATATAATGTCATCACTCATTATAATCATATAATAAATAAACAAATGGATGTATGTTGGTGGTGTGCATCCTCAGTGCATTGTGCCTTCAAGGCATCTCTTTTCTATCATTTTGTCCCTTTTTGATTTTGCGTATAAATTTTAATGGTCTGACCTTATAAAAATAGTTCTGTTGGCTGAGCATGGTGGCACATGCCTGTAATCCCAGCACTTGGAAGGCTGAGGCAGGAGGATTGTTGCAAGTTTGAAGCCAGCCTGGGCTACAAAGTGAACTCAAGGCCAGCCTCTCAAAAAGACAAAAAAAAACAAACCCTCATTCATTGTTGGTGGGAATGCAAAATCAAAAAGCCATTTTGGAAGATAGGCAGCAATTCCTAGGCCAGCCTGAATTACAAAGCAAGATCCTAAATAAAAAAAAAAAAAAAAAAAAAAAAAGTTCCGTAGCTGCCAAAGCTTCATATAGATACCTTTTCCTTCTTTCACCTTTGGGATTATTTGTGACTATAAGTCAGAATTCAGGTTTAGAACTGCAAAACCGTTCTTGACCTGCATCTACAAACTCTTTACTTCTTAGATTGGTCTTTCTTCTCTGTGAGTTTTTTTGAAAATTTTTATTGGAGTATTTTATGTCTAACTCTGCCAAAGGTCACTTTCTCCCCAAGTTCTTGTCATTTCTGGATGAGTCTCCCATTCTTTGTTGATCCCACCTAAATTCAGTGTTTTTCCTAACTTTTGAAAGATGAAAAACATCTGCAAAACCAATTAGAAACATATTAACTACTTTGTTCAAAGATGGCTTTAAATCATATGACAGAAAAAAAATCGTGGTTGTCATTGTATCTGGATTTCGTGCTAATTTTGCATTCCGAGTACAATCATGACCACATCTGCCTCCTACTTAGGTGGGTGTTACACACGCCCCAAATGTGTCACCATTTTGCCTTCTGTATTCTTGTCCATATTTTTTTTTTTTTGCTTTATTTCTGTACTTAAATCTTTGCATGCTGTCTTTATGTGTAGTCTTCTGTTCTAAGCTGGATCTTTCAACATTTTAACACCATCTATATTTTGAAACAACTACCCCTCAATTGTTTCATCTCTGTTGGACTGAGCATTCAGCCATTCCTGAGGGTAATTTTTCTGTTGTTTTTGTTTCTGACCTCACGTGGTAATATCTTTGGTGCTGGGAGGGGAGAGATCTGGTAGCATCATTTATCATATGTGAAGGAAACTGAGCTTGTGTGGCTCTAATGAAAACCAGATAGGTATTGATTACCTTGAAGAGAGCAGGATACAGCTAAGATTTTGGCAATAACAGAAAATACTAAATGCTCTCACATCCTGGTCTGGACTTTACCTCATGCACCCACCACACCAAAGAAGTCCAGCTACCCGTAGGCACTTGGTGTTTGTTACCTCTAGCAACAAAATGAGATAAAAACCAGAGGTTCGTTCAGTAGCAGAATAATTTATTGTTAAAATAACCCAACCACCCCATCTTTGCCCTTTGGCTCCCCCATGCACTTTTCTGGCCCTTACTTCACTGTTTATACATTTATCAAACACAAGGAAGCTATTCCTTCAGACAGGATTCAGGCCTGTGTGTCCAAGAGACTTGGTCATCACAAAAGACTTGAGTCGAAGTCTCTTGGATGCATTTCTATCATATTAGTGTGCTTCAGTGTTTTAGAATAAAGGCAATTTTTCTTCTTGTGGATATGCTTTCTCTCGTGTCTCTTGCTCCAAAACAGATCAGTTTTACCTGTCCTGAGTGCGTAAAATCAGTCAGCTAACTGTTGTGTTGGTTTCTGCAGATATTGCTAAGAATATCCTGGTATTTGTGTCCTGACTTCTCATTTGATATTGTACGTCTCCAAATGCTTCCTCTGTGGCAGTCAATAAAAGTCTGATGAGCTTTCTTCTTAATTAGGCAGATTAACATTTGCTATTTGAAACTGATCCTTTCATCACATGTTGAAAAGGTCTTACATTTCATCACTATCTTCTTTCCTCTTGTGCAGATTGTCCTAATTGAGCAGGTACAGCACTTTTCACATTACCTCATCTTTTCCACTAGGATCATTCTGAACCTATTTATCCTGTGGTAACATCTGTCATTGTCTCTGCACATTTAATTTTTTAGGGAAAATGTCTTTATTTTCATTTTACTAACCTTCATGAAACACATCACAATGCAGCCCACATGTCAGTGAAGACAGTATTCGCTCACCTGCTGGTGGTGGCACCTACAGTTGTGGTGCTTTTATTCTCTAGAATGGGGTATGGGAAATTTACAAATTGGTTAGTTGTTCAGAATCACACTGGGAAAATGTTATTTTCTGTTCTTTTCTCTCCTTCTCTGATAAAACTAGTTTTTCAATCGTATCTGCTCTGCAGTTGTATTTACTTGCAAGCCTCTCTGCTGTATTCTTGTGATACATGTGAACTGGAACATAATTGTGTGCTGGAAGAAGTCCTCTGTGGACGAGAGGTCATGTTGGCCTCTCCACTAGTGCACACTTGCAGCAAAATCTGTACCTTTCCGGGCCTTCATTTTCTGATCAACATTGGGAAGGCCTGAATTACATGATCCCTAATGTTATACTCAACCTACAAAAATTGTGTTGTTTTATGAGCTGGTGTTGTCATATTTTGGTAAAATTTCCAAGTCATAGTAGTAAGATCAGCACCCTAATGTATTTGCATTTTTTATTTTTAATTTGGGGGAGGAGTGCTAGGGATGAAATCCAGGGCCTCATCCATGTTAAGCAAGCACCGTACCACTGACCTCTGTCTCTAGGCCTGCTGTAAGTTCTGTAATGAGCTCTTTATTTTTTGCCCCTGACAATTGTAAGTGGTTTCTTGACTGCAGTCTTACTTCCTGTGTTACCCTGTAGACATACATTTACTGAGTAATTACTATACCCTGAGGACTAAACTGGACACTGGGGTTAAAGAAAATGACATTTTTCTGCTCTCTTTCTTTATAGCATAAACTGAATAGTTCTAGCCCCCCTTCTCAATTCCAGTTTAAAAAGTCTTTCCTTCAAGATGGTTGATAGCATTTGTAGCGCTTCTTCATGACTTTCATGAGCTGGGGGCAGCCTTTTTCTTTCCAAGAGTTCATTCTCCAGGTGTTAGAAGTGGTGAACCTGGAGGCTGGAACTTTCTTTCCTGCACCTTCTCTATAGCTGGCATTTTATTTCCCACTCCTTTGTTAAGTTCCAGGTTCTAGTAGGAGCAGCAACAAATGTCACTTGTGCCCTGTACTCCTCCAGTTTTTCAACAGGATTTCTACTTTTAGATATCTTTTTTTTTTTTTGGTACTGAGAATCAAACTCAGGGCCTCATGCTTGTAAGGTAGGTGCCATGCCGCTGAGCTACATCCCATGCCCCAGGATATCTACTTTTATTGAGTCAAGTAGCTTGAAAGTTTTGACGTTCAGTTAGCTTACAATCCCACCCTACCTCCATCCAGTTAGTGTGAATGACCGCACCATGAGTGAGTCATCTTTAAATATGAGCCTTTAAGAAATCTCAGGCTAAGGACATTATTCAGAAACTTAATTTTAGGGAGAATATGTGCACAGGCCCTGTCACTGACCAGTCTGGAATTCTTTCATTTATTCATTTATCCCACATATTCCTGTATTTACTGAGCACCTTCTGTGTGAAGTCACTGTTAGAGGTACTGGGTGCAGAGCAGTTTCCTTTTGTGCCAGGCATATGAGTGCCATACTAGCTCCTCTTGCTGTTGTAATGGATGACCGCAAATCTAATGACTAAAACAGTGCACCTTGATTGTCATATAGCTCTGTAGATCATGTCTAAAATGAATTTGAGGGTTAAACTCACTCAACATATTGGCAGGGCTCCATTTCTTGTAGGGCTCAAGAATAATTTGCTCTTTCCTTCCCCGGCTCCTAGAAGGTCCCTATATTCATGGGATATTGGCCTTGCAGATCTCTGACCTCTGCTTCTACCTTTGAATCACCTCTGATTCTGACCTCTCATCTCCCTTTTATAAGGGTCCTTGTAATTATGTTTGTGCTAGATAATCCAGAATAGTTTCCCCATTTTAAGAGCTGTAATTTAATCTATTTGCCAAGTCCCCTTTGCCATGTGTAGGAAAGTATTCACAGGTTTTGGGGTATTAGGATGTGGACATTTTGGAGGACATTATTTTATCTCCCATAGTTGCTGTCTGCTGGTTTTGATTCTAGTGAGATAGTGAAGTGGTTTTGAGAAGTGTCTTCCAAGGCCCATGTGTTAAAGGCTTGGCTGCACTCACCTTGGCATCATTTGAGGTAGTGGAACCTTTAAAAGGTGGAAATTACTGGAAGGAAGTGAGATCATTGGGTGTGCCCTTCAAGAGGATATTGGGATCCTGGTCCCTGCTCTTTCTTTCTGGTTGGTTGTTCCTCCACATGCTCCCTATCATGATGTATATCTTGCCACAGGCCCAAAGCAACAGGGCCAAATGACCCTGGACTGGAACCTCTAAAACCATTAGGCAAATGAGATCTTTTTTTTTTTTTTTTTTCCTCTTTTTAAGTTTATTATCTCTGGCATTTTATTGCAGTGACAAAGAGCTTACTGTCTCCAGCAAGTAATCTGGATCTGTTAGATTTTCTCTTTCTGATGAATTATATCAAAAAACCTGGACAATTTAATCAATGTTTTAAGTGGTAGAAACTTATAGAAATATCAATTCCATAAAAATACATCAATATTTTAAAATACCAATCTAAAAAAATCATTAAATGGACAGAAACACAAACCTAGGAGACTCAATAATTTCTGATCAGGAAAAAACCATTTAAAAAAGCTGCTTATTTTCCTAATGTAAACCTAGTTAGGGAGTAGAAAGTGGGAAAAATAATCCACAGAGAGGATCTAGTTCGCCTTTTTTCATCGCTTTATTTTTTGTTCACAAACACAGTGTAGCCAGGAAAATTCCTAACCACTAATTACTGTGGCCAAAAAATTTTATAAATAAAATAAGAAATCCCCAAATTATGAATGGTTCTGTAGAACTAGGATTTTTTTTAAAAAAAAAGATGTCAGAAACCAACACATTGTTAGAGAAACAAAAATGAAAATGCTGATTAGTTGAGTTCAATTGTAAATTCTAGAAATTACTTAAAGCTTTCTTCATAGGTATGTCCTGTTGCTGTCTATGGTTACTTGAAGTTCGGGGGCTAAAACTGTGTGGGTGCAAGTGGGAAAACAGATGAACTTCTAATCAGAGAGATTTCTCTTTTCTGTGTGTTATAATGAGACATAGAAATAATCATGTGAATGTCTAGATTTAACTCCTAGCGGCATCTGGCTACCATTAAGCTTTCGTTTTTTTCTCATTTTTTTAGTGAAACAACAGTCACCTCAGAAGAAGTTGATAAAAATGGACAGCCTTTACTATTTCTCTCTGTACCGCAAATTAAAGTGAGGAGCTTTAGGCAGCTGTCACAGTTGGTATTTATTGCCAAAGATACAAAGCTGAAGGAGGCTCAAGCATGTGTTGAAGGTGATGTTTACATTCCAGTCTTGGATCTGAACTTTTAGAAAATAATCTGAGAGGGGGAATCACTTATTATGGTCTCTTGAAAAACGTTCTGCAATCAAAAGGTAAAAAGTCATATGTACTACTTCATGAAAATTTCATTAATTTTCCTTGGCTGAACTGTTTTGTTCATATCAAGTTTCTGCTTTAAAATGAAAGGCCTGCTCCTTTAGCATTAGCAGTCTCCCAGGTTTTTAATTTTAGCATATGGTTTAAGGAGTGCCTTCTCGGCTTGTGGAAAGCCCAGTGGCCTGTGACCTGTAAGGTCACGAGGACCAACATCTGACCACCCTCTCTCCTGGTGTGGTGGGTGATCATTTGTTTCCTCCAAGGTGAATGTGGACTCTTGCTTTAGCAGAGGTAGACTTTAAGAAATCCCCTTTCCAGTGTTCTTAGCCATTTTCTACTGTGGAGTTCATACTGTTCTGTGAATAGCTACATTTACTCAGTTTTGTGAGAAATACTGTTTTCCTCTTCATTAGAGATATACAATGAACTAATTGTTGACTAATTAACATGTGAAACAGAATGTGATTTATTGCCTCCTGTTACAAGTATTTATCACTAGAAATACCTGATCTAGGTAGTGATATGTGGTATATGTTTTAAGCACGTGTGTGTGGCCAGTGGCTGGGCCCCAGGCACAAAGTACACGGGTTTTGTACATTGCTGTGTACGTGGGACTTTAAAGAAATAATAAGATAGCAGTCTCAGAACAGCACAGGTCTACTCTTCATTATTTGATTACCTGTACATTAAAGCTATTTTTGTGAAAAGGGATGAAATGTTAACTGTAAAGCTGAATTCCAACAGCGGGCAAGAGATGAGACATACTGCACAGGTTCCAAATATTTGGTTTGCTTAACTATTTCTCCTTTACACCATTTTCTCCTTCCTGTAAGTTTAGGTACAACCTTCACTTTCAGATCCAAACTGCGTAGTGCCTACCAACTTGGTAGTCAGGTTTCTGTCTTTCCTGAGAATTCACCTAATGCATACTGTCTCAAATCTTTAAGAGATGGCAGCTGTCGGTTGATAAGTGGAGGTGCTGAAAAGATGACTGATTCCTTGGTTTTCTTTTCTTTGCTTGTCTTTCCCTTCTAAGCAGTCCCCTGCTCCCCTTAATTAAGCCTTTTATGCAACTTTCTGGTGGCACAGCCCTTTTCTGGTTGGAGAATCAATGCTTTTTCAGTCAAAACAAGCTCTGTGCACTGGTATAACAGGGTCCCCCTCCCAACTCAGTGAATGTGAGTTTTCATCTTTCTTGAATTACTCCATCCCAAACAAGGTTATTACCATTTCTCCCTCATTTCCCACCCAGAATGATTTTTAAAATGTTTACTAAATTCTCTTTTCAGCATCACTAGGTTCAAATTTCACACCTGTGTCAGTCTTGATCATGGGTTAGTATTTAAGCTTTTCGCTGTAATTTTGGTGCATGTGTAAATACTGTTTAGATTTATTTTTCCAGCTCTAATATCAAAGTGCATTGAGAATATAAGCAATTGGAACAGGTGGAAAAGAGTACATAGACTGTAGGCTGAAAGCATGCAGTGTGGGAAAGAAAGCATTTATGAACACTGAATGCTGGTACACACAGACACATACAGTTTTAGTATGACCCTTCTGTGGAGATTGGTGATTCAATTCTGAATATACTGAATGTCTATTCTGAAAAGTGCTCCAGAGAGAGAGAGAGAGAGAGAGAGAGAGAGAGGGAAGAGGGGAGAGGGGAGAGGG